TATTGGATACCCGTTAATCAGCTTAAGGGAGTGCGAGAGGGATTAATCATAAATCATTTAAGCAATTCTGCTATTTTCACTAACACATCTAGCCTATAGCGCCACCTATCCTCTTCTTCTATAGCGCCACTTGGCCTACAGCGCCAATTAGCCTATAGCGCCCCTAGCGGCTTGATGGCTTATTAGTAAAAACTGCTTGTTGGCTGCATGTGGATTAAATTGCAAAATATTTATTATTAATTGGTTAAACGTTTTTAATGATTGGCTTGCATGTTAACATGTTGATAGGTATTGATAACAAGAAAACACTCTCATTTAAATTTTTACAAAATTTTATTAAGTGTGTGCGCTAGACGGGTTTTATTGTTATAGTCGTTTGTGGGCGTTAAAGTGGGCGTGGCACCCTGCTGAGACAAGCTTGCGCTGTGCAGGAAGCTCAGGAATCTGCAAATTACAAAAACGGATACCGATTTAATAAAAGAATATAAACTTTTATTTAAACTTTAAAATAACTTTTACTTAAACTTTACTTTCACAATTCTTTTTTGACATTGATATCTTATGCTAATTTTCCGACTGCCCTAGCTTGCGTTGGCTCTCTTCCCTTGTTGCCTCGAGATCGAAGCTTTTGGAAGCTTGCCCTCGTAATTTCCCGAAGTCTTGATTCCGAAGTTATTAATCGAGTAGGATTGCTGTGATCGCCATGGCAAATTTGGAAGCAAAGGAGACGCCATAAATATGGGATCGCGGTGTCATAACTCTCGACGTTGCTGGCTATCTTGGGGGAATTTGTTTACATCTGTCTCAAGCTTGACTCGCCGTTGGTTTATTAGGTGCGAGTCTGAGAATGCTTATGTGATAAGAACTTGTGAGAACTCAGTAGCAAGCTTTGCCAAAATAATTTGTTTACAATATTAATAAGAATAGTTCATTAAATTTATAGTTAATTTGCATGCCTAGTCCCAACACTCTAGCTCTCAGCGTTCATACAGACAGGGGACAATCGGACATGGCTATATTGACTTGGCTTGTGATCCTAATCAACAATATATATATATTCTTCTATCTGTTACATACTTCTAGTATACCCTTTTACTCCACAAGTAACGGGTATAACAAGGAAGATCGCTATAGTCGAGTGCCTCGACTATCAGATATCCGTTACTCAGCCTGTTTGTGGGGAAAACAACAAAAATGCCACCCTTATATTTATAATTAATAACGCACGAATAGGTTATATTACATGTATAGCGTTTATTCGGAGCGGCAGACGGACTGTGGAAAAGCTTGGCTCCAAGATCTTCATATAGATATATGCAGGCTTACAAAGTAGTTGAATAGATAAGCGACAGCTTTAGTGGTATAAGAAAGAAGGCGACAAAAGATAAGCAAAGAGCGCTGCAGGTGCCGTCGTACACCTATGCGCGCATGACTAGGCGCTGGCGATCTGCTCCGAACACAGCTATAGGGAGCAAAAGGGAGATGGATTTATACAAACAACAAAGCGAGATTGTAAAGCCCCACCCACCCCCGACTTAAATATATGCTTATGTGGGCGGCAGACAGATTTAAGCGTTTTGTGCGGCTTGTGGGTGTTAGAGTGGGCGTTGCAAACAGACCAATAAATTTCATTTACATTTTTTTTAAGCTTGAAAACTGTAGGAGCCACAATTTTGGGCTTTTTGTAGGCGTCAGAAGGGGCGTGGCATGCTCGCGTATCACAGCGTTCACACGAACAGACGGACATATACTTTGTGGGGTCGGTGACGCTTCCTTCTACCTCTTACATACTTTTCCCTGCGCACTGTTATGTTTTAAAGTATTAAAGATTCTCAGCTATTCCGTCCAGTGGACTAAAAATTCGTTAGCGATATCGCAAACGAAAGTTTCGCGAGAGTTAAACGTGCAACGAACTACTGGTCGCTCATTTTGTGGCAGGCAAAATTTCATTTTGGATATTTCGAAAACGGATCGTTTTCGAGCCTTTTATAATATCTTTAGCGAGGCGATTTTAATATTATTAGCCGAAATTAAAACTAGACGCGGCTCTTAGAAGATATCATTAAACGGTTGCAGACATGCTGTTCTGCGATAGCTTAAGCTGATCAGGAAAACTTAGAAGTAGGTCAGGATAATCTAGAGATAGGTGAGGAAAATTTAGAAGTTCATGAACCTTTAGATGTAGATCAGGAAAATTTATTAGGAGGTCAAGATAATGTAGAAGTTAATCAGGAAGATATAGAAAACTTTGAGTCCGATCAGGGAGACTTAAATTTTAAGTTGAAGCAGTGGTTTATAAAGCACAAGCCAACTCGTAGTTGCGCTATAGATCTAAACAAAATTTTAAATGAAGAAAATTTAAATGTTAGGCCTTTTTATAAATTTAAATGCAGCAATACGTTAGATATTACGGAAATAGATGGGGTTCCTATTGGCTTATCGAAGCCATTAGTTAAATTATCTGTGGTAGCAGAATTTCCAGAAGTTTTAAGCATTGACGTTAATATTGGCGGTCTTCCCTTAACTAAAAGCTCTTGTGCACAATTGTGGCCTATTTTAGTTCGTGATATTAATATTAATAAATGCCCCGTCTTTCCAGTAGGATTTTTTTCATCTAAAAATAAGCCATCTAATTGTGTTCAATACATGTCAAAATTTACTAGTGAATTGTCCGATCTTACTATAAACGGAATAACAATTTCAAACAAAAAAGTAAATTTAGAACATAGGGCGGTGGCTTGTAATGCACCTGCAAGGGCATTTGTTACAGGAACCCCTGGACATACATTCCGTCACGGCTGTACCAAATGTCTTCAGGTTGGTCGCAAAGTAGATGGTACATTAACATACAGTACTGTTGCTGTGAGTTAATTACTCATGAAGACTGCGAATAGAATTTATCCACACCATCACAGCAAAGATTATTTGAGTAGTCCGTCGGCTTTTGAAACGCTTGGTGTTCGTATGATAACCTAAGTTCCTTTAGATTGTATGCATCTTATTGAGTTGGGGGTAATGCGCAAATTTTTAGAACGAATTTATTATAACAAAGTTATAAATAAAGTTTCAAAACAAACCAAGAACAGTATTTCCGCTAAATTAATGTTAATGCGTTGTTAATGTTGCAAGGAAGCCGAGGACATTGTTAGAGCTTCCTAGCTGGAAAAGCACTGAGTTTAGGCAGTTCTTATTATACACTGGTTTTGTAGCTCTTAAAGATTCAATATCTGATGACCAGTATTATTTATTTTTATTACTGCACTGCGAATTTAGATTGCTCTGTTCGCAAAAACAACGGGGAAATAATATTGAAAATGCTCAACAAATATTAAATTTATTTGTTGAAAATTTCCTCATTGTATTTGGAGCAAACAGTGTGACTTACAATGTCCACGGCTTACTCCGTGTAAGAGATACTATAAATCAAATCGGAAATCCGGGTTCAGGATCTTCTTACTCCTTTGAGAATTACTTGCAGCTCCTTAAAAAATGTGTTAGAAAAAATCTTTTATCTTAGAACAAATATTTAGGAAGATAGTCGAAGAAAAATACGTAGCCCCAGCAGAAGAACAAATAAAATTGGTAGGCAGAAATCTTAAAATGAACGACTGCACACTTAGTGATAGGCAACCAGACAATTTTTGTTTTGTAGGAGATGAGGTTCCAATTCAAATAGAATCCTTTGAACAGGTAGATGGGGAAATTTTTATTAATGGAAGGGAATTGCAAGATAGGGACGGTTTTTTTATTGAGGCAATGAATTCTTCTGGCCTAGTTATATATTTAGTTAATTCAGAAGTGCCTTCTACTATAAAAAGATTTTCAATAATGGAATTTAAGAGAAAAGCGGTAGCCATTCCTTATTTAAAAAAAATAGTAGTAGTTCCATGGTTGCATTTTTTTTAAAATTTGATTTTTAGTTTTTTTTGTAAAGGAGGTGTTTAGTCCATAGGCGTTATTTTATTACGAATCGGGCATATTTATTGCGACGGCGTTTTAAATATCTTTCGAAGATTCACCTACCTTGGTTTGGGTACCAAAAAAAAAAGAAAGCACTTGAATTATTTTATTTATTATTCTTTTAATTTTCTATACTAACAATTATTCTTTATTTAATTTTTTTCTTATTATTTTCGCTTATTTTTGTTTATTTTTTATAATTTCATTTCATGTACCTACAATATTTACGAATATTTTCGTTATTAACAATTGTTGTTTATTTTCTGTTTATTGTTATTTTCATTTATGTTTGTTTATTTTTTATCATTTGATTAATCTATAATTTTTTACTTATATTTGATTTAATTATTTTTTTGTTTTTTCAAACATTTTTAAATTAGTATGTCTTAGCCAGAATCTAAAGTGCGAGAAATTGATTTTCGGGTTACCATATCCATATCCATAGTGATTGCATTAATACAATATTTTTTTACAGAAACCCCATCGGTCTTTAGTGAGATAAAAAATTTGTGTTACTGTGTAATTTTGTAATTATACCCGTTACTCGTAGAGTAAAAGGGTATACTAGATTCGTCGGAAAGTATGTAACAGGCAGAAGGAAGCGTTTCCGACCCCATAAAGTATATATATTCTTGATCAGGATCACTAGCCGAGTCGATCTAGCCATGTCCGTCTGTCCTTCTGTCTGTCCGGATGAACGCTGAGATCTCGAAAACTATGGGAGCTACGCTATTGAGATTTGGCGTGCAGATTCCTGAGCTTCTTACGCAGCGCACGCCCACTCTAACGCCCACAAACCGCCCAAAACTGTGGCTCCTACAGTTTTGATGCTAGAATAAAAATTTTAACTGAAATGTAATGTTCTCATCAATACCTATCGATTGATACAAAACAAAAAAAAGAAATAATAATAGTCAAATTTGTAGAAATTTAAATAATACCATATAACTAAAATGATCTAAAATGAAATTAAATATGTATGTATTTTAAATTCTATATTTTCATAATTGAAAACTCATTGGAAAAATTCTGATTTTCAGAAGTGATTTCACTTGCAAGTGAATTCATAAGTGAAAACTCATTGGAAAAATTCTTAATTTTACAAGTGATTTAACTTGGGAAGTGTCACTGCAAACGAATTCATAAGTGAAAACTCATGGATACCTACCGGAGGATGAAAGGATTCGCCGTTATATGGAGGCACGGAACCAGATCTTTGCGGAACATAAGCTGAACGGCATGCGTCTAGTCTCACGGAGAGTCCAGAAAATAAATCGCCATTGACGAAAAATCTCTAAAAATCATGGCGATTACTACTTTCAGTATATTTTGATGTTTTATTTATTTTTTGTAATATAAATAAATTAAAATTTCAGAAGAGGTTCTCCAAATCCCCAGGAAGATCTCTGTAGTAACGCAGAAGCTCGACATTTTGGCGGACAAACTGGCGGAAACCACCGCCATTTTAAAGGTATCCTTCGCTCCAGACAAGGAGATCTCGGTCGTGGTACCGTTTCAATTAAAAACGGAAGAGGAATTGGATGAATTCGAAAATTCCTTGACCCCGGAGCTCGTCGGTTTTTACGTAAGTATCGAGCAAGGCCGACATGTTTTTGCATTTCTATGTTTCTTTTTTATTTCTATTTGCAGACAATGAAAATATCAAAAATTATTGGTAGCGAACCGCTGTCAAAGCGGTTTAAGCTGGTCATAGCGGAGGATATGATAAATAACTGCAATTTGGACGGGTCGAATGGGAAGAAGTCCCTCCGATCGAGCGTTGGCCAAGAACTCCGAGGACCCGGACCAATGTTTACGAAAAGCTATGACAAATGTAAAAAATAAGCTCACAAAACAAAAAAAAAGAAATAATAATAGTCAAATTTGTAGAAATTTAAATAATACCATATAACTAAAATGATCTAAAATGAAATTAAATATGTATGTATTTTAAATTCTATATTTTCATAATTGAAAACTCATTGGAAAAATTCTGATTTTCAGAAGTGATTTCACTTGCAAGTGAATTCATAAGTGAAAACTCATTGGAAAAATTCTTAATTTTACAAGTGATTTAACTTGGGAAGTGTCACTGCAAACGAATTCATAAGTGAAAACTCATGGATACCTACCGGAGGATGAAAGGATTCGCCGTTATATGGAGGCACGGAACCAGATCTTTGCGGAACATAAGCTGAACGGCATGCGTCTAGTCTCACGGAGAGTCCAGAAGGCAAAGGAGCGCTTCAGGTTAAGGAGATCCAGACGATGAGAGGTGGTGGCGGCCGTGAAACGCATAGATTCCGCCGATTCCTTCGCCGACGTGAAGACCTTGGGCAAGCACCGCACCGGCTTGTTGGACACGGGGGCCAGCGTAAGTGTACTGGGCAAAGGCTGTCGAGAGCTCGTGGAAACGCTGGGAGTTACGGTTACGGCGTAAGTAAGCCGGTCACGTTCTACCTCTGCCCCTATCTGGAACAAACTGCTTACTTCGGAGTCGACTTCTGGCGGACGTTCGGACTAGCTCTAGCCGTCGTAGGGAAGCCGGGACGAGAGGCGTCAAGGCAGCGGAAGAAATCCATGCCAGCCAGATGGAGCAATACGCCGCCCAAAACTGTGGCTCATACAGTTTTGATGCTAGATAGAAAATTTTAACTGAAATGTATTGTTCTCACCAATACCTATCGATTGACCCAAAAAAAAGTTTGCCACGCCCACTTTAACGCCCACAAACCGCGAAAACCTGTGTCGCCCACAATTTTCATGCTAGATAAAAAATTTTAACTGAAATGTATTGTTCTCATCAATACCTATCGATTGGTCCAAAAAAAAGTTTTCCAGGCCCACTTTACCGCCCACAAACCGCGAAAACCTGTGACGCCCACAATTTTCATGCTAGATAAACAAATTTAACTGAAATGTATTGGTCTTGTCAATACCTATCGATTGGTCCAAAAAAAAATTTGCCACGCCCACTCTAACGCCCATAACGCTTAAATCTGTATACCGCCGGTAGGTGGCGCATTTTAATCTCGCTTTGCTACTTGCATATCCCTATTTAGCTGAGTAACGGGTATCTGATAGTCGAGGTACTCGACTATAGCGTTCTTCCTTGTTATTTATATTGTGTCCTTGAATTATGACCAATTTTTATTTATATTTTTTTATTTCATAACTTTATTTTATCCCTAGATGATTGATTTTATAGATTTCACTGGAGTATTAGTCTTCGGCTGTTAGTGGATTGCTTACCTTGAAAGCCAATCAAAATAACTATTTTCCCAGGTAGGTTGCAAAAGTTTTCACAAGTCATGGCAAACATGAAACTGACAGGTATTGCACATTTAACTTTGAATTTGGCTTCTTTATCAAGGCGCAAGTTACCGACCAGTCGGCAGTCAACGAGCCTCCGGCCAAACATTCCAGAGCTACCCTAGAAATGGTACGCTGACTGGGTGGGCACTTTGACCCACACATCTGGATGTAGTTATGTACCTTGCACCCTGAATCATTGCTTATACCCGGCACCGACCCACTCGAGTTTTGCTGACATAGCAACAGGATGCCCCGACACCTCGCCCAGAATATATGACAGGAGCAGGCACTTCGAACGGATTACTAGATAATTATTCTTTATTTCATCTTGTGTTAGTGTATAAGCCCATATGTATAGTAGCGGCTGCTTTTCGGCCACCGCTGAACCATATATGAGGGGAGTCTAGAAATTCACTTCAAACGTAGAAGACGTTCTTACTCTATTTAAATCGTATTTTATTCCAACAAATATCAAACTTGAGATTCAAAATATCAATTCTGAGGACTTACTGACGGAAAACTGGAACCCCCTTGGACCACTACCAACCGGAGCAGACACTTTAAAGTACATTTTTGTTATACATAGAAATTAATTTTCTGCTTTGATTCCGGCGATTTGCGTAGAAGAAGCAGGCGCACGTTTCCGACGTCATTTCTGGATTACAAAATGTAAAGTGTTCACCATAATTCGTAGTTTTGAGATCATGTCCACCTCGATTCATGAACATAGATTTTGTGTTTAGAAGATATTGAAAATGCTGACCAGTTATCTCTCCTTTAAATTGTTCAATAAATTGGTCAATTTCCTCATGAAATTGCATTTTGTTAATTCTATTTTCTTGTAGGTCTTTACACATCTAGTCTCAACTTTAAAATGATGTATAACAATTATTTTATTGTTTTGGAGCTACTTTTAAAAAATGTCAAAATAATGTATGCATTGTTTAGAGCACAAACCCCGCCCTTAAGGTGTGTTTCACAATAGGGAAACCGGTTTCCTTTAAACCTGTTTAATGACGGACAGCCCATTTCCTCGATATTAATGAGCTGACGACTCCCAAAAAACTTCTGTAGAAATCGTTTCTTTTCCACACCTTTACAAATAATTTGTTTTCCGCTTGTAATTGTCCTTAGATACTTTCGAGTTTGTGGAAAACTGTTCTCTCCATCGTTCCAAAAAATTTTGTGATGTGTATTGGTTAACCAAATTGCAGTCTTTCGAGATTTTGTATTTAGCAAAGTAAAATCATATGGTGGTTCTATTAAAATACTATTATTCAAGTTTGGATCTTTTTCGAATACAATTCCAATTTTCTTTAAAATAAAATTATTATTATTATCAAAGAAACCTTGAACATCAATCGAAACAGTATCTTTCAACATTTTTCTAATGTTAAACAACTCGTTGTACTAGTCCGTTTAATGGGTTATATTCAACTAAACGGTCATGTATGAGGACACAGTAAGCTTGGGTATTTTCATGACTTGGTGTCTTCAGTTCTATTGAAATTCTCACATCAATAGGACCAGTTTTCACTGATTCGTTTTGATATGAAAGATCAACCACAATAATAGGGGCCTTCAATTTAAATTCATTTAAGGTCAAAAATGGTTGTGATTCACGATTATAGTAACTAGATTGAAATCTTGTATACATTTCATATAGGTGAGCATACTGATTCTTACTAAAATCAACATTCAGATTATCATATGGATATGACTCTGAATTCAAGTGAACTTTCAAGTTTGATAAGTTATTTGTGATAAGTTCTCCATTTAGTGTAAATCTAATTATAGCAAATCTTGGTTTTTCGCGGTTAGCCGACAATTTCACATTCCAGCTGTGTTGACTTCCATACCCCAATTTGGGGTTAACATATGAATCCCAACTCCGGAATGCGATTGGTAGGTTTACACCACTTTTAATAATATCGTACATCTTAATTTTTGCAAAATCGCTCGGAGTTACATGGGGAATTTTCCAGGTTATATTCGTCATTTCCAACTCAAAAGTTTGTTCATTTCTGGTTTGTTCAAACACATCACCAAGATTCTTAGTTAGCATCAACACTAGTTCGTGTTTACAATTTAACAAAACTTCTTTATAATCCTCAGCAAATCCCAATAAATTATTTAATGGTACAGAAAAGTTAAAGTGGGGTCCCGTAGATATTTCGTCCCCATTGCTCCATCCGGAATTTAATAGATTTTGACTTTGAAGATTATCCAGAGATATATAATTTTTTAGGGTTGTAGTCATACCGACAAACCGTGTCTTATCAATCTCACATCCATTTATTTCGTACTTAATTTCATCCAAAAAGTAAGCCATACAATTATTTTTAAAAAAAGTGGTAACATTATCAGTTGTAGGTCCATTCGGTGAATCTTGTATAATAATTCCTTGAAAATTAAGGTAACTTTCGTGAGGAAGCACGTACAAGTCTTGATTTTGAATAGTAATTCGAATTTCATCGATTGGCTTAAATGTTTGATTATACGATGAATAAGTATGAAACTCTTTCTTCGAAATACTCTCATCTGAGTAAACCTTTTCTCGAACATTTAAAATTTCGTTCATTGTTTTCCTTTCCACCTTTTATATTATACTCGAAGCTTCAAGCCTAACGACTTTAAAAATAGTTTATTTTTCAAAGTAAGTGAGCTTCTTTTTACTTTTGATCCTCTTTCTATAGCTTTACAATTAGTAATGCTTGGCTGAGGACTTAAGCTACGTCTTTTATTATAAATAATCATTCTATTAACCGAATGTGCATGCGAATCGAAACGTTTTCACCACGTAAATTCACCAAATCACCGTTTTGATCAACTATGTGTATAGATAGTGTGCTTATTTCGTCACAGTTGATTGGTAAATAAATTAGGTTATGTGGTGTCACTGTCATTTTATACCCAGGCGGAACATTAATACCAAACTCATGTAATGTATGATTCGGTGTATTATCTACATATGAACCGCTGATTATATTACATTCCAAACGAATTGTATTATTTTTTAATATGTTCACGGTCTGATCTGATCGATAGGTTTTTGTAGGATGTGGCTCTAGTACTTTTTGATGGAAACCAAACAGTTGTCCAACCGATCTTTCCTTATTAAAGTAAACTGACTCTCGCATGGTAGTTATTTCAACTTGAAGTGTATTATTATTACTTTGAATTTTTAATGTATTTTCCAGGTAATAGTCTTTTAGTTTATTGTAAATAAAATCGGTGATATCATTCAATTCATATGATCCAGTTGGAATTGTAATAACCTTGTCACCGATGTGGAAGAGGTTATTTTTTTCATCAATATTTGGAATCGAATTAAACATATTAAAATCGATAAGAGCGCACTCATATCGACCATTCAATTCGGTAGGTGGAAAAAAGTTTGTATTTATAATGGAACTATTTCCATTCAAGGATAATGCAAGTGATCTGGACATATTGAAATCTCTTGATAAACTGTGGGATTGTAAGTATCTAACCAAGCTTTATATTGAAATTACTCCTTAAATCATAATAAATTGATCAAATCCTTTTCTGTATCTTCCGTTAT